TCCACATTACTCAAATTAGTTGGCTTTTGAAATATAATACCGAACGCAAAAGTATTTTGAAAATAATAATAATAAGACATCCAAGTGCTTTTATGTTCTAAAAAATTAACACCTTAAGTTCCTTTTTCTTTTTCTTTTTTATAACGTATTGTTTTCTTATTTGTGTATATAGTTTTAAAAAAATTATTCAAATTTAGTTACTTTGTACCTATTGTTACTATATTATATACTTTTAATTATGTTTTATATAACAACTCAATGTAGAAACGTTCTTGATCCAAAGTTATCTGCACACGATTGTATCACTTATACGGTATATATTCTTAATTTAGCCCAATCTAAGGTGGGGTTAGTCCAAAAATTAAAGAATGAATAACTTATTAAGAATTCACGTGTGGAAGCAACTTTATTCTAAATCTTTCTTGATATTATTAAGGAGACGAGGTAGGCATGAAATCCAAATGGGTCCATATCATAATATACTACTCCTTAAACTATTATAAACTATACTCCTCTGCCCAATTTATGTGACATACTTTTCTTTTTAGTTCGTCTAAAAAGAATGACATATTTTTATATTAAGTAACAATTTAACTATAAAATATATATTTTATCCTTAATGAAATGATTTATAGTCACACAAATTTCTATCATTCATTTTGAACCACAAATTTTAAAAATATTTCTTTCTTTCTTAAACTCTGTGTCAAGTCAAATTATCTCACATTGAACCCCCGGAGTACTATATATGATTAGAATGCGATTGATAAGATAGGATAAGAGAATTTATGTCATACTCCTAACTGTTTCAAGTGTATGCATGTGGCTACTCAAGAAGCATGCTTTTTTTCCCTTTATAGATACTTGTAAACCTTTCCACGATCGAGATTAGCTTCTGATTGTGACAACGACTTGTCTTATTTTTTTTTCCTCGGCATCCGATATTCACATTGTATATCAAAGTTTGATATTTTTTTATTTGTGCTGCATAGGGTCATATTTGAGCACCCCTATTAGGGCCATTATTTCATATTTAGAGCTTGAATTTGAGATTACTGATTAAGAGAATAATAGCTTCATCCATTGTATTATATTCGTTGATGGTGACTTGTCTTATATCAATAATCGGTATATATTTTTCTGTTTATTAAATAAAATAAGGTGCAAAAAAAAAAGTAGAATCAACCGTTCCAAGAAAAATCTTGATTTTCGATAGAATATACATCAACTAGTATAGAAAGATATGATACACAAATTTTATTATTTCAATAATTAATTTATAAGCTTCTAGAAGGCATCATTAATTTTTTAATTTTTTTATCAATCTAATTAAGATTTTCCGTTAAGGAAGATATTGAATCATATTCCACGAGTACTACAATGTTATAGCGTAAAATTGGGAGTCTGAAATTTTGAGAACTTGAAGAATTCTCCGCCACAAATAAATAAATAAATAATAGATAGAAAAATACAAATATTTATAATTGTGCAAAATATACTTTAACAAGAAACTTAAAAATTAACTCAAATCTTATTTAGACATGAGTTAAAGTAAACTAAGTTTCCTACTCAACTTTATATTAGTCATCCAAAAAAACATAAATTACTAATTCCTGCAGCATTTTTCAAGAATTTAATTTTAATTTTAGTTGATAATATATAATATAAAATTATCATATAAAAAATAATGAAATAGCTCACATGTTGAGGTTATTTGAATTGACTAGTCAGACCTACCCACTTAACCGACCTTATATTTTCCCCTACATGTGAATATAGCCGACTAGCATCCATCATATTCCAAATGGGGAAAAAAAAAAAGAATCTAAGCAAATGTCTCAATTTATACGATATATTTTTCCCCAGTTAATTTCATAAGAATAACAAAATTTTGTTTGATTATTTAATAATATTATTAATATTAATTTTATGTATACTAGGTTCACTTGTTTGAAGTAATTTTAAATTATTATAAATTTTTCTTGTATTTTTTAAATTATGTGACTAATCATCAAATTATGTCATATAAACTGAGACGGTGGATACTATAATATAGTGGGTCATGAAACTAAATTCTATGACGACTATGACCATCTTTTTAAAGAAGACTCTTCAAATCATTCATTTTTTTCGTCTAAGAAAATGATTGAAAGAGAATGAGAAAGCACAATGTGAAGGAAGGATGAAATCCCAACTTTCTTCATTTGCGCTTCAACTTTTTCCAACTGTATAAAGGAGCAATGATGAGATTAGTTTAGTGGTCATGAATAGAGGAAGTAACTAGGAAAAATAGCACCACTAGCACACATACAATTGTGTACAACAATAACAAATTCAATGTAATTATATAAGTAAGATTATGAAAAGATCGTAAAATCAATTTATTCAGTCTTATTCTTATTTTTATGAGATAGAAATGTTATTTTTGATTGAATCTCGATAATCTTCTTTTTCATTTGAATTTAAAATTAATAACGTGAACAAGTTCATACTGACGTAATTAACTCACACGTCATACAATTGTGTGCTAGCTTCAAGTCCTCTTTCTTTCCTTTTTTTTCCCTTGTTTTTTTTTTTTTGGTAGTAAATGATTGTGTGAATTTCAAGAATTGAAAGCTAATGATTGTGAAAGCTCATTATTTGAATCTTAGTGATAGGAAAATGTCAAAGTAATCATTGTGATAGAGACCTCTTAACCTTTTCTCCAATTTCAACAGGAAGAGATTTGCTTTTTGTTAGTTGAAAAATAGAAAAGATTGGAAGAAGCGTGGAGTTGGGAATACTTTCAATAATAAATTAGTTATATAAAAAAATGTATTAGTACTAATTTTGATATGGTTATTTATACATAAATTATTGTATTCTTTATAACATCGTTATGCATATATGATGATCTCTACTGCTATACACTATTCACTGCATACTAATATTTGTGTCATATATTCTTGCATAACTAAACCATTCCTTTTCTTATTATTATTCCATACATAGCAATTAACAACAATTATAATTTTTACCATATTGCATTTATTTATTCAACAATCATAAGTCCTTTAAAGAGTGGCATAACTTGTTGCAACATTGATGTGCAAATATAAATTTATAACCCGTAAAAAGTTTATTTATCTTAAAGAATAAAACTTAAAGACCTGCAAAAAAAAAAAGAGTACAAAAGTGCAAATGACCCCATTGTTGCTTTTCTGGATTTGGATTTTAAGTAAATTTTGGGCTCAAAGTTAATATGAAATGGGCTGAATAAGTACCCTGAGGCTAGATAGTGTCAAATGGGCTATGCTGTATTTTTTGTTGGGCTCAAAACACTTATTGGTGGCAGCAGTTTTCATTTTTAAGAGTGAATTTAAATAAAATGATTTAAGGTTACATATTCAATTTCATAATCCATTAGCTTAAGAATACTTATATATTAGTGATGAGATAAAGGCTAAATTGGCAATCGATACATCAAACAACGTATTTCTACGAGGATTAAACATACTAACGAGAGAAACCTCTAATAATGTATCAGGATAGTTTACACTTTTACATTTTTTTCTTTATCATATTTTAACAGAGTAAAGAAAAATTGATTTCAAATTTTGATTATAGAATTTTTTAGGAGTGTACATGACCGGGTTGGTTCGGATTTTTCAAATATCAAACTAAACCATTTGTATAAAAATTTAAATTTATAAACCAAATCAAACTAATAAAACTCAGATTTTTTCGGGTTTTTCAAATACCAAACCAAACCATTTGTGTCGAATTTTTGAATTTTTAAATCAAACCAAACTAATAAACCTCGAATTTTTTTTCTTCAGGTTTTTGAATTTTTCCGGTAAAGTATTCATACAAACATATAATTAACTTGTGCTCTAAATATTTGTTTAGTCCAACCAAAATACAACTATCTAAGGTGTTTCTTAAGAAAATAACATAAAATATGAGATTAGTGATGACACTAACATATTCAATAAAAAATACTAATAATGAAATCATATAAAATAAATATTGCAAATTGATAAGTCATAATAAAAAGGATTATCATTTAAAAGTACTAAATCATGCTAAATAAGTATTAATTACATGATTAAACATTAAAAAAAAAATTAAAATTAGATCTTGTATTTTAAATGTCTAAACCAATGTAAAACTAAAGAACAAATATTCAACATTATTGTCATTCTCAGTGTTGAATTAATGTGTTTTGTTAGTATTAGTATTGATTTGATTTCAAATTGAGCTTTATTAGAGTTAGTAATATCTATGAACTATAACTTTTATTGGACCATTCAAAATTTGAAGTCTCAAAAAACTTGAAAAATTATGTTAAATAGATAAAAATTATGAAAACGTATAAGTAATATTTCGGGTTGGTTTGGTCTCGGGTTGACTTTTTTTTAGTTAAAACCAAATCAACCCAAGTATAGTCGGATTTTTTTTCTCAATACCAAATCAAGTCAAACCAAATCATTAGTCGGGTTTTTTTTCCGATTTGACTCGATTTGCAATTTGATTCGGTTTTTAGTTTGATTTTGTACACTCCTAAAATTCTTCTTGCACTCTATCTAGAAGGTAGCAGGAAGACTAGATGCTCTTAGTTTGTATTCCTTGATGGTGTTGTGGTAATATTTCACATTTTATTACAAAAAAAAAAAAACTTTTGAGTTAAGTAGAGCTGTTAATATATGATGGTCCAGTCCATTCGAATTAGTCCATCGAGCTTCGAAAGCAGCAACAAGTCAGTCTGTGCATACTATCTCAATTATTTTCATTTTCTTTTACACCCAATTGAAGGGGAATTAAATATTTGATGAGTCAGATCGGGTTCCCATCCCATCATTATGTGAATTTTGGGCTGTGTTAGGTCAGATTACATTTTAAAAAAAAATATACAGTATTTTTTATGTAAACATTAGCCAAACCTGAATTAATAAGTGGGTTGTTATTAAGTCTGGGAGCCACCAATATGTGGTGCAATGGATGTTTAGGTTCGAGTCAATAGTCATATGAAAAAATTCTTAGGTAATAATTAAAATTACATACAGTGTAATTATTGTGAGCTCCAGACTCCAGTTTCTGTTCGTCGCCTCTATGTTTCCCTGTTCCTAATCAAGACTTCTTCTATAGTTCCATCGTCGATATCCATGTCGATAACATATTTCCGGCGTCTTCACTACTCTCGTTTACCCCTCCGTTGCCTCCACACAGCAAATTCAGAGCCAACCTCAACCTCAACACCCAATTTGTTTTCAGACCCACTTTTCAAATCTAAAGTTTCAGAATTGATTTCAAACCAGCACTGGTCTCAGTTGAAGGACCTAATTAAACCCTTTAACCCAACTTCGTTTCTTGAACAGCTTTTGGATTCTGGGTTTGATTCTTCCTCCATCTTGGGTTTCTTCAGGTGGTCTCAATTTTATCAGGTTTATCACCACCCTCTTGAGCATTTATGCAGAGTTCTTGTATTGTTAGTTAATGATAAAAAATACCCAAAGGTTCGATCTTTATTGCACGATTTTGTTAAAAATGGGAAGACTTATACGGTTTCTTCTGTTTTTCATACACTGTTGACATGTAGTGATAATGTGTGTGCTAATTCTATTATTGTTGACATGTTGGTATTATCATATGTTAATAATGGTAAACTTGATTTAGCTCTGGAGGCTTTTAGAAGAGCTGGGGATTATGGGTTTAAGTTATCTGTATTTTCATGTAAACCAATGCTTAAAGGGGTGGTGAAAGAGGGGAAGTTTGAGGTAGGAGAGCTTGTGTATAAGGAGATGATTAGGAGGAGGATTGAGGTTGACTTGTACACGTTTAACATTGTAATTAATGGATTGTGTAAGGCGGGGAAGTTAAATAAGGCTAGGGATGTGATGGAAGATATGAAGGTTAGAGGGATAATGCCTAATGAGGTTACTTACAATACATTGATTGATGGGTATTGCAAGAGGGGTGGAGACGGGAAGATGTATAAAGCAGATGCACTTTTGAGAGAAATGATGGAGCAGGGGGTGAGTCCAAATGAGAGAACTTATAATACTCTTATCGATGGGTTTTGTAAGGATGATAATGTTGGGGCAGCCATGAAGCTTTTTAAAGAAATGCAGCTTCAAGGGATGAGACTGGACATTGTGACGTTTAATTCGTTAATTGATGGGTTATTTGGTGATGGGAAAGTTGATGAGGCTCTTGGTTTACGTGCAGAAATGATACGTTTGGGGTTGGAGCCTAATATTCGAACTTATAATGTAATGATAAATGGGTTTTCAAAAATGAAGATGTTCAGAGAGGCTAAAGAGTTGTTTGATGATGTTATGAAGCAAGGGTTAGATCTAAATGTACTAACTTTTAACACAGTTATTGATGCTCATAGTAAGGCTGGAAAAATGGAAGAAGCAGTCGCTCTTCGTGAATTAATGTTGAGCAAACTGATTTGTCCTACCATTTCAACATATAATTGCTTATTAGGTGGTTATTATCGAGACGGAAATGTTGGAGCTGCAAAAGAGCTACTGGAGGAAATGGAGGAGAAGAGTGTGATGGCAGATCTAGTAACTTACAATATTCGAATAGATGCAATGTGCAAAAGAGGAGAATCAAGAAAGGCAGTGAGACTTCTGGATGAGATGTCTGAGAAAAGGTTGGTCCCAAGTCACGTGACATACAACATTTTGATGGCTGGATATTGCCTAGAAGGTAACCCAAAGGCAGCTGTTACTATTAGGAAAAGAATGGAGAAGGAAGGAAAACAACCAAATGTTGTCACTTACAACGTGTTGATTAAAGGTTTCTGTCAGAAAGATAAGCTGGAAGAAGCAAATGCTCTTTTGAACGAGATGTTGGAAAAGGGATTGGTACCCAATAGAATTACCTATGACATTATCAGAGAAGAAATGATAGACAAGGGATTTGTCCCTGACATAGATGGACACCTCTACAAGGATACTGTCAATTGTTAATTATGGTGGAGAAGTTTGAGAGTGGTCTAATCGATTCATTCTGTCATTTTTATTTCATGTACTTTGTTCTTCTGGAGGGACAAAAGCAGAAGTCTTTGTGGCTCATGATTACATTGCAAGACATGTATGTGCTTTAATCCTCTTCTCTTGCTTTCGGTTTTGGTTTACAGTAGTTAAATGTACGAGGTTTATGGAGGTTAATCACATTTTCGTAAATTTTTCTTTGTGTAGATCAAGGGTTTGATAATTATATTAATACCTGTTCATGGGTGCAATTCAGCTGAGGACTTTTCTGCTTCGCCATGAATGATAATCTTCTGTGATCAGACATAGTTTCAACTGAAACAGAAGGTTAAATTGCATGACGCCTTTTTTTTTTTTTGTTTTTTCATTTTTCTTATTGCAATCCTCTGTGTTCGTGGGAGATAAGTGCATTATTGACACCAAGGTGGTGCTGTCAAAAATATTTACAATGTACCAACAGAATATCCCTTCCCATCCTTAAATGGATTCTATGAGTTCTATCACTGATTCAGCTTCGGTTACAAATTTTTGTATACACCCAAAATGAAATACAAGTGAACAATTCATCTCAATCTTCTGAATAGAGTTTCCTTTATCTTTAGAACACTTGAGAGTTTCGCTTTCTCCAAACTGTCCAAGGATGAGAATAATTCAAAGATGAAATACTACTACTCCCTCCGTCCCAATTTATGTGGCACACATTCCTTTTAGTTTGTCCCATAAAAAATGTCACCTTTTCTATATCTAGAAATAACTTTACTTTAAAATTCCCTTTATACCCTTAGTAAAATGATTTATAGCTACAAAATTATCTATCTAAGGTTTATTTTAGGCCACAAATTTCAAAAAAGTCTTCCTTTCTTTCTTAAACTTCGTGCCTAGTCAAGCGGTGTCACATAAATTAGGACAGAGGGAGTAAATGATTTGGTAATTCACTACTTTGCTGATGGTACAGATTCTGTGGTGGACCTATTTTCTCTTCTAAACAAATTAGTCTGTTCATTTGCCAAATTGCCTCCATTCATACTTCCACAAAATGTACCGTCACTTCCCTTAAAGTCCAGACTGCAACACAAGTCTGCTTGGTGAAATGGACTCTTTACATCAATATAAGTATATAACTACTTGTATAAAAACATCTACTGCATCTTCATAAAAGGAAATTATACAAAAACAACATTGTGCAATGGTTGATTGCAACTTACATTTTAATTGGGGATACAACAGATGACAGAATGAAGCAACTGCATATAAATGCAAAAAAAGGGAATAATAACCCAACCATTAAGCCTATTGACCTATTATATCTTCATCTTACTAAGTGGATTTCCAGTTTGTAGATGATTTAATTTAGAAGAAGCTGGTGTTCCCTGCTCATTCAGTCTCTTTAATCCAAGAGTTATACTTTCAGGGTTTATGGCGGTGAGAGTTGGAATACGACTTTTGATCTAGTTTTTCCCGGTTTAGTATGTCTTGGCATTTCTTATAGAAGGGATGTCTTGTTTTCATCTATTTATTCCTTTTTTTTTTCTTCAATTGAGAAATCTCGTCCTTAACATAAACTTAAGAAATTATAATAGACCTTTCTTAAAAGTTCTGATTTAACCCTTTTCTGATATCATCATTGATCTTCTCTTTACTGTATTCTAGCTTGTCCGTGTGAAAATCATAGTTTGTTGCTGTTGCTTTGATGTTTACATTTAAAGTATGCTTGGATATTTTGGGTTCTATGCCTGAATTTACATTTTTACGCTGACAGATACATCATGAGTTTGCGTGGCTCAGACATTTCATGAAAGATGAATCTGTGGCCATTGTTTCCAGAGTTCAAAGTTTGCTGGCGGATCCTTGGCTTGTTCCACAATGTGATTTAAGGTGAGTGACCTACCAAGAGAATGCTTGTCTGGTTGGGAGTTCTTGCGTTGAACCCCTTAGCAATTATAATACCTGGTGAGACGTTTTGATCTGATCGGGTTTTGGGGAAAATCACTATCACTGAGGTTTTGATGAGAGATATATTAAAGAGCAGTCTTGAAGAGAATTGTGAGACTGAAGTAGGGGGAAGGGGATATTGGAGGAGTTGTTCTTTGCAAAGAAAATGCAGGATTAGGAGTTTTTTTTGCAAATAGTATATAATTTCTCTTATGTGCTCAGTGTAACATGAAATCTGTTCACAGGAATAGAATCCTCAATTTTTTTCCAGGCAATCTGTTTGGTACTGTACTAATGTATATGAGAATTCCAATTACTTTATGAAAGAAGTATCCAATACATCATACATGATGTAATTTGATTAAAAATTACAAAGAAATACTGACCAAACATCATCAGTTCTTGTGAAGAGTCCTACATGTCGGCCCGGTCTCTTTAATATGGCCTGAATAATCTTCACCTCTTGAGTTAACTTTTGAGGTTGTAGGTGGGGTAACCTGGAAGGTCATAAGTTTTGGAATTAACCATTTTAATATCTTATTATAGGGGAAAATGTTTAATTATACCTTTAACGTTTATGATTTGTCTTATATATAATTTATGTAATTTTTCGTTCATAGGAGCCTCTGCCGCTACCTTGCATCTCAATTATGCTTCTCCCATTAGCGTTTTCAACGTAAAACAATCCTTTCTACTACGTAAGAGTATATAGTTGGACCTTTTCAATTGTTTAAGAATATATTTGAAAATTTTCAGTTATATTTAAATTTTTTGTTTATGTAATTTCACTGTAACAAATATTAAGAGTCAAAACTGACCAATCGTCAATGAAATTATAGGAAGAAATTAACAATGTCAGACAAATCGAATACTTCATAAATATAATTCATTTTTTTTCTTTTCTAGTAATACACTTTGACTTGGTCCATTCACATCGTTTGATTGTAGAAGGAACTGTTGTATTTGTCAATAGAACTTTGCAAAATTATTGTTTAATTTAAATTAGTCGAACAATCATTATTTTCATCAGTCTTAAAATAAGTGTCATCTTAAAAATTCAGAATGAAAATAATACTTATGTGTTTTCAGCTATACATTTATTCTCTAACTATTTAATAATGTTCAATTTTAAAGAGTCATTTATTAAATATGAATAATTTAATAAACGACACATCACACATTATATTTAGATTACAATTTCTTAATCAACGTATGTGATATGAAAAAAATTGTTTCTAGAAGCCTTTTCTACAGATAGGGCAGCTCTTCTTTTTTAGCAGTTCCATGCACGCATCAAAATTTGTCTTTTTCAAAGTAAATATTGAACCTAAATCATATGACTTTTTTTTATTATAATATAAGAGAACTCATTTATTTGACATTTGGTATTTCCTTTTTCTCTCACCCAACATTTGATATTATCCGTTTAATTCGAATACACCTAAAAAAATATATTTTGAAAATAAAGCGCTTTTCATGTAGAATTAAAATCTATTATTGTTAAATAATATTTAAGTATGAACTAAAATTAACAGAAAGTAACAAACTCAAGATTCATTTAATCTGAGCCTTAAACAATTAAGAATTATTACGTCCAAATCAAATATCAAATAAATTAGTAATAAAGTTCAGTCATATCCTAATCTATCTTTTCGCGCCATTCATCCGTTGCTACACTTATCCAATTCAACCAACTTTGACATTATTTAAAATAAATATTATAAAGTATTATTCTTCGATTGGATATTATTTTGAATTTCTAAGTGAAATGCTTTTGAGATTAGATTGGAATCAATTATTCCATAACTGCAACTGCCACTATCATTTTATTAAAAAAACAAATTATTTCGACTCATTATTCACGAGTTTAATCACCTAGAAAGATTGGAAAAAATTAGACATTTTGAATATGGTATAAGTATGTTTTTTATTTGCTCAAGTATGCATTCTTCCTTTCCTTTTAAACAAAATTAAGGAAAAATTGTCAACTCTTGAAATTTATGTTTCCTACTCTTTATTCAATGTTTCAAATTCTCAGTATCTGCTTTGGAACTTCAAAAGTATTTTGATTAGTGATGAGTTCGGTTACAACTTACAGAATATTTCGTTTAATTTGCTTGTAATTTGACTGAACTTAATTTTAAAAAATAAATTAAGATTTTAAATCTTTGCCACATATGATTTGAAAATCTTTTTATTTTTTCTTGATGTTATAGAATTTTAAATTGAAAAAAGAAAAGAAAAATGAGGAGCTAGTCTGCCCCCGCCTGCAACCCTTCAGGTTGAGCATTTTCAAGCCCTTCCAAGTGAAGGGCCAGTCCGCCCTAGCCATCAAATTCCTTGGCTTGGACCGATCTTTTTTGACAACTCTAATTACTGATGAAAGGTCACTAATATCCATAAAATCAGTCCAAGTGCTCGAAAACTGAAAGTATGTGTCCAATGAATATTTTGTATTTTCTAGAGGTGGCATTACATTTGTCATCATGAACATCCTTCTCGCCTTCAAACTATCTATACCACTCTAAAAACACCTTTCAAAGGTTGAGTAACGTAATTCTCTTCTCCGCCTCCAAATCAATAAATAAACTATCTGGTTTCCCCATATTAATCTCTTCCTTAATCATCTCTACCTACCATTTTTGTCTTTTCACCTTCTTAATCATCCTTCTTATTTCTCCTTATTTTCTTGATTCCTTTTTGTTAATTCTTTTTCCCCCTTTCTTTCAATCCACCTTTGTTCATTGTCTCAAAAAAGATTGCCTTTTTTGCGACAACCCCATAATCTCAATATCACATTTCTAAAGTTATTGTTTGTACTATTTATTTTGAGAAATTTCAAGGTGGGTAATTTATTTTCTGGGGTTGTTGCTGATTTTGATTTTGATTTTGATTTTGATTTTTTCAATGACAATGAATTTGGGGTTTCTTTAGTTAGGAATCAATCTATGATCTCTGCCATTTCCATCACTTTTTTAGGCGATTGTTTTCGTCAATCTTTCTCTGTATTGTTTCTCTACCATTTCTATGATTTTTCATGAATAGAAATACCCACTAAAAAGTACTTTTTTTTAAAAAAAAAATTTGTTGAAGAACAGACTTTTTTGATTTGTATTGGCATTCTTGAAATCATAGATTTGGGGTACTGTTGATTTATATTGGAGAAAAAAAAATGTCACCTTTAAGGCAGAGTGCTAGTTCATCTGCATCAGATGATGATCAAAGGTATGCAGGAATGGATGAGAAGAAGAGGAAAAGGATGATTTCCAACAGGGAATCTGCGAGGCGATCGAGGATGAAGAAGCAGAAGCTTGTGCAAGATTTGACAGGGGAAGTGAGCAGATTACAGTCTGCAAATAAGAATATTGTGTCTAAGATTGACGAGACAACAGAAAGATATGCAATTTGTGCTGCACAGAATAATGTGTTGAGGGCACAGGCAATGGAATTGACTGATAGGCTCAGGTATTTAAATGATGTTATTGACAGTACTGGTTTGGCTGCTGGTGTTGCTGATCCTTTGTTGAAGCCATTGCAGAATCCTTGTCCAATGCAGCCTATTGCTTCTTCAGGATTGTTTAAATTTTAAATCGTCATGATGGCTTGTTTGGATAGCTTTGCTTCCATTAGTCCATATTTTAGTAGTTTCCTTGGATGGTAATGTCATGTTAGTTATGCCTTTGCTGGTTATGTTTTAGTGTATGCTGTGTCTGCTTACTCTTTTAACCATGTAAATACCAAGAATTAGCTTGGAGTTGTTGAATCAGATGTTTGTATCTTACCGTCTGGTCTTTGTTTACGATGATATTTACAATGAGGGATAATTGATTTGTTATGCTATGGCTGTTATTGAGAATTCAGGTTATGATCGTAGTGAAAGCTATCATGAATTGACTAGTTTTACATTGGTCACAAAGTCCTCCTTTATTCATTATTGAGAACGGCAACTGTTTGGATTTTGAAGAGCAGTAGTAGTTTGTCATGTTTACAATGAGGGATAACTGATGTGTCATGTCATGGCTGATATTGAGAATTCAGGTAATGATCATAGTGAAAGCTATCATGAATTGACTAGGTTTACATTGGTCGCAAAGTCCTCCTTTATCCATTATTGAGAATGGCAACTGTTTGGTTTTTGAAGAGCAGTGGTAGTTGGTATTGTTGTATTGTCACTGCTGTCAATGTCCTTCTTGGTAGCACGGATGATTATTTCGCTTGCCCTCAGTCCTTCTAGTGCCTTTTGGTTTAGGTAATCCGTAGGTTCAATAAGTGCAGCAAAGCTTGCATAAGTTCCAAGAGGGGTTGAGGCCGGTGTCATTTCCCTTTTTATCAGGAAAGCTGCCTCCAAATGGTGTCAACTGTAATAGAATGTAGCTAGATAACTGGTGCTGCAACATCCAAAATATATGGGATGGATTACATTGAACTAGATGAACTTTTCCTTGTCAAGTTTGTCTCAAAGTAGGAGTAACCTGTGTTTTGAGTTCGAGTGCTCTTCACATAGAGATACACTCATTGGTGACAGAACCCTCAGACAGAATTGCTGAGGTCAAAGCAGTAGTATTTAACTTGTGCCCGAATTCCACAGGGCATTCCTTCTCTAGTGCTATTTACTATTGTGACAACAATAACAACATACAGTGAAATCCCACAAGTGAAGGTAGAATGTACTTAGACGTTACCACTACCTCGTGGTGGTAGAGAGACTGTTTCTGAAATTAGGATTTTGATAGTTTTGTGTTCAAATTCTTTGATTGAATTTCAGATATTTCTTGTCTGATCAATCAATCTAGAAAATCAATGATTATATTGATTTTTTTCCTGCATAAAGTAGAATATAGCATCAACTATGTACAAAGTTTATACTAAGTAGTAATTCACAGAAGTTCCGGACTACTTCTGGTTAATCTGCTATGACATTATTTCCATTGTTGTAGAGAACTTTATCTGGAGGAAACTGATTCTTGTTATTTACTCAGATTATTACTTATATCAAGCATATATATACATGTAACATTCACGTTTAAGCTAATGTGGACCGTTGGCCATTGAGTGTTATATACTCCCTTATGTCTTTGTATATTCGGGAGTACTTCAGCATCTTCAATAGTCAACCGACAATGATAAAAGCCAATGCGAATTCTATTTGTTGAGCTGGAAACAAAGAGTAGATATGACAGGAAAGAGTATATTAGCCTCCTTTTATAGCTAGTAATAATTAAACGTTTTGCAAAGAGAACCACACATTTGAGAAAACTAGTGGCCTCATTTTAAAGGTTCAACTTCTTTTCTTTACAGAAAATGGAAAGACAACTCTATAATGAACAGATTATAGATCATTCA